ATTTGGGAGTTGTAGTTGCTGGTATTTATAGTTCACCTACAATCAAAGAGCATTCTGAACTCCACCAACGATGGTATTGAAGGAAACTTGTCACACAGAACTCCCATGACCAATAGAAAATATTGGAAGACTTTGGTGGGCATTAACCTTGAGTTTTGGAGTTGTAGTTCACCTACATTCAGAGAGCACTGTGGACTCAAACAATGATGGATCTGGATCAAACTTGGCGCGAATACTCAATATGCCCAAATGTGAACACTGATGGAGTTTCTGGGAAATAGACTCACATTTGAGAGTTGTAGTTGCTGGGATTTTTAGTTCAGCTACAATCAAAGAGCATTCCGAACCCCACAGGTTGGGAACCACAGATCTACATGCTTTGGCCTCCAGCTGTCAAGTGTCCAAGGTAGTGGTCAGAGACTATGGATGTTGTAGTTCCATATAACTGAACTGGCTGGTCTTGCGTTGCAGAGTGCTGCTTTTGCTACTCGAAGAGTATAGTTAAAGAACAGATCCTAGTGTAGAGCAAGGAGAAGTAGAGAGGTAATAAAGGCGCCCTTAAGTACATCAATCAGAGGAAAGCTCCTCAGCATGGAAGATGGAGCGATAGCACCCCCGGTGGCCGGAGTCGAGCACAGCCTCCAAGATGCAAGAAATAAGATGGGAAAAACTGCCTTGACCTCTGTTTGTGTTGTCTGTCCTTAATTATATAATTGGCATTGAATGTTTGTGGTACGTGTGTTCTGTAAGCCAGTCTGAGTTCCCTTCAGGGTGAGTATAAATACTGTAAGTAAGTAAGTAAATAATAGCACGCTGGAAATAGAGTGGGATGGAAGTCTCTCATTTATAGGGTCAGCCATAGATCACCGTCAGCTTAAAGCCAATTAACAATAGCACACACTCAAAGGCAAATATACTACACATCTTCAATCGCAGTACAAAGAACGGAGCTGCAATCCGAGACTGGGAGGAAACAGTGACTGTAAACGGAATTGTTGCTGCATAGTAAATGGGTGGCAATACTACGGGAAGGAAACAAGACTGTGTGGGAGGCGAGAAGAAGGAACTGAAGAAGAAGAAAGATTGTGAATTAGTAACATCATAAAAAAGAGTATTTATAGAGCAAGACTTGTGTTTCATATCCTTCTCCAAAGAGGAACATGGGGGAGAGAGAAGGCGGTGCTTATGTTTATGACTGCAAAGATCACCTAGGCAGCTTCAACCAACCAACACACATCTTTATTATTAACTTATTTTATTTCATTTCTATGCCATTTCTATGTCTCCAGGAATGGGACCCAAAAGTAAGGCAATGGCAATCCCCTTCTGAACAAATCTGGCCAAGAAAACACTAGATTTTGTCATTGCTATCGGGCAGAAAGGACTTGAAGGCACCTGGAAGGTGGTTTAAGGGGCTTTGATCATGATGGACTATTACATCATCATTGTTCTGGTACAGCTGTACCAGGAGCTCCAATTTTGTTTGCTTTGCATTGAATGTTTGTTTGTAGTCCTAAGTTTCAGAGACTCTGCAGATAGGTGGCTTCTTTGGCTGCAGTCATAGGGCAGGCCACCTGTCCGTCATCGTTAAGTTTTGGTCCTGCCCTTTGCTCAGGGCAATTGGGAAGGGAAGTGGGCCATTTTGTTAGTCAGTCTCAGCCAGGTTTTGTATAGGATGTGTGTAACTTCCCCTGTACAAAGGCTTCAAGCTTTAAGAATTTCCAGGGTCATAGAAATTCCAACAGAAACAGAAGGGAAAGAATTCCAGAGGAGAACAGCTTTAAGAGACTCCTAAGGAACTCCAGGGAAGCATTCCCTCAGCTTTGGGAATTTCCAGGAAACAGCCCTAAAGACTAAAGAACTCCAGCTGGAGAACATCCACTGCCTTGCTGGTAGATCCACTCAGTGTCCGAGAAGCAGTTCGGCCCGGTAGCTGAGCCCAGACCAGTGAGGGTTGGATTTCAGTCAGCCTGGGAGAAGTTTAAAAGGGGTTTTTCCTTTAAAGAAGAAGTTATTGAAGATAGTTGCCTGTCCTTTGTGGGCAAGTTTAGGAATTCACCAGTTCCCTAGAAGCTTGGAATTATTTGCTTTACTTTGCTAAAGATAAGAGAAGTTCCCATTTGATTGTTCATTGATAAAAGACTTTGTTGTACTTCTCAAGCCATCTAAAGACTATTTGTAGTGGAAACCTCTGAGAACTTCTCCTTAGGCCCCTGGCTTCCCGCTGGGCAAAGGTTACACATCCTATTTTTAAAGCCAACCAATTACAGGCCCAGCGGTGACAGAAAAATCATCATCATCATCATCATCATCATCATCATCATCATCATAGAATCCTAGAGTTGGAAGAGACCTGGTGGGCCATCCAGTCCAACCCCATTTGGCCAAGAAGCAGGAAAATCGCATTCAAAGCACCCCTGACAGATGGCCATCCAGCCTCTGCTTAAAAGCCTCCAAAGAAGGGGCTTCCACCACATGCTGGGGCAGAGAGTTCCACTGCTAAACAGCTCTCACAATCAGAAAGTCTTTCCTAATGGAATCTCCTTTCCTGTAGTTTGAAGCCATTGTTGCATTGCGTCCTAGTCTCCAGGGCAGCAGAAAACAAGACTTCTCCTCACATCTTTATACATGGCCATCATGTCTCCTCTCAACCTTCTCTTCTGAAGGCTAAACATGCCCAGCTCTTTAAGCCGCTCCTCATAGGGTTTGTTCTCCAGCCCCTTGATCATTTTGGTCACCCTCCTCTGGACACATTCCAGCTTGTTAACATCTCCCTTCAATTCTGGTGCCCAGAATTGGACACAGTATTCCAAAGCGGAATAGAGGGGTAGTAATAATAATAGTAATAATAATAATAATTGTGCATAACTGCTAAATAAGTTGGGGGGAGGTGATTTAGTAATTCTATAGGATCTTAACATGGATATATGTGAAATTTGGAGCCCCTGTATGTTTTCATCTGATTTTGTGGCTATAGTTGTACATTAGTGAAGCATGGACAGAACATTAAATCTTGGCACACATTGTTTCTCCTTTCCCAAATTTTAGAACAGAAGTGACCAAAGTTGGACTCTTTGAGGTGCATCTTTCATGACTTTCCAGACTGCTAGGAGTGATTTGAATGTTGGATTGGTAATCTAGAATACCAGATTCCCCACTCAGGAATTGAATCCAACTGGGTGATCTTAGCCACACTCTCTCAGCCTCAGAGGAGAGCAATGGCAAACCACCTTTGAAGAAATCCTACCAAGAAAACACCAGGAGAAGGTTGTTAGAAGTCAGAGCTCATTTGAAAGCAATGATAACCAATTAGAAGATTGCAAACATCTCTTTGGACTGCTTAGGATGGCATTTGTTTCAACCCCAGAAATATACTGTTAAGATACTTTTATTTCTGTTTGTTTATTATTGGAGAGGGAGGGCTATCCAAAAAGCTCACGCTGAAACTATTTTTCACGAGACACATCCAAAAACTGGTTGCAAATAACTGGGTATAATCTTGGAAATCAAAAGAGATTTGGGTGAGAAGCGAGAAAGCGTTGATAGCAAGGTGGGAGGGGAGATTTAAGGGTTATACTTAAGTCCAAAATCTATATAAATAAAAATGTAATGTTCGTTTGTGGGATTAGCATAACTCAAAAACCACTGGGCGAATTGACACGAAATTTGGTTGCAATACACCTCTCAGGCCAACAAGTGACCATCACTCACAAAAACACTGAAAAACCCTGAAGAAACTTAAAAAGGCCTAAAATAAAATACATTGCAATGCATATGCAAATACACAAATACATTGCAATGCATATGCAAACACACATATGTACACAAATATACACACACATATACACATAAATACACACACAAAGCACATATACAGGACTGGGCCAAAGCAACTCGTGGCCGGGGATGGGCAAATAGACACCAAATTTGGACACAATACACCTATCAGGCCAACGAGTGATCATCACTCATAAAAACACTGGAAAACACAGCAAAAGAGGCTTAAAAAGCCAAAAAACAAAGAAATACATTACAACAATGCACAGAAACCACATATATATGCAAACACACATATACACAAATATATAAACACATATATACACACACACAAAAAACACATATACACAGACTGGGCCACAGCAATGCGTGGCAATACACATATCAGGCCAATGAGTGACCATCACTCATAAAAACATGGAAAAATACAGCAGAAGAGACTTAAAAAGTCCAAAACAAAAATTACATTACAATGCATGCACAAAACCACATATATACACGCAAACACACATATACAGAAATATTTACACACATATATACACACACACAAACACAAAACACATATACACAGACTGGGCCACAGCAATCCGTGGCTGGGGACAGCTAGTAAAATACATACAGTATATTCTGGCGTATAAGACTACTTTTTAACCCAAGAAAATCTTCTCAAAAGTCAGGGGTCGTCTTATACGCGGGTGTAGTCTTATGCATGGGAGTCGTCTTAACTCTATATTTTAACTGGAAAAGTTGGGGGTCGTCTTATACGCCCAGTCGTCTTATATGCCAGAATATACGGTAAATAAAGAGATCAGGTTTATGTTTACTTTCAACAAGTACAAACTATGGACCAAGCCAACACCATTTGCTCCCAGCCAACAGCATTTGCAGCCTCCTGTGGCGCAGTGAGTTAAACCCAGCAGGACTGAAAACTGACAGATCGGAGGTTCGAATCCGGGGAGAGCACCGATGAGCTCCCTCTGTCAGCTCCAGCTCCCTATGCGGGGAGAAGCCTCCCACAAAAATGGTAAAACATCATCCTTGGGCATCAAACTTTTAAACGGCCAATCTCTCACACCAGAAGCGACTTGCAGTTTCTCAAGTTGTTCCTGACACAGAAAAAAAATATATCCCACTTTGGACACAAAGATTGTAAGAGAAGAGGATGTGGAAGGTTGGAGAGGTTGGAAGAAATAAAGCCAAGTCGAGCCAGAAATCCTGCTTACCTTGCCAAGGTACCAGTTTTGGCTAGTTTCTAATCCAAGGAGATGTGTTTCTTGGTCTCTCTGGAAAGCCAGCAAAAAAGGAGACGGCTCTGGGACGCAGAGGGGACATGTCACATTCAGAAAGAGAGCAAGACTGGGAGGGGCTGGGTGCACAAAAAGGAAAAGGAAAGAGAAAGAAACCACCCAGGAAACCAGACTGTTCCAGACTTCGAAAGTCAAAAAGGCTGTTGGCTGGCATAGCACTCAGATAAACGCCTTGTAGGTAAATGCAATTGGTTCAGTGGCTATCTGGAAAGGATTTTGGCTTGTGGTTTCCCCCTTTTGGTCCTCCAGATGTTTTGGACTTCAGTTCCCAGTATTTCTGACAAATGGCCAAGCTGGTGACAGTTTCTGGAAGCTCTTATTCACAGGGTCACTATATGGAGCAGCTGTTGTTGTGTAACTTGAAGTCTTAACACCTGTCCTTTGTGATCCTACCTTGTGTAAACCTCCACATTAAATGATTCCACATAATGTATGTGATTTATTTATTACTTCATGAAGGTTGTTCTTAGTCTCTGGTTGTCTGACTATTGGTTTCTTTCCTACTTTGGTGGCAAGGTTGGGTTTCCCATTCTTCACGAGTTGGAAGGCAGGATCATCAAGTTTGCAGACGACACCAAATTGGGAGGGATAGCCAATACTCCAGAGGACAGGAGCAGGATTCAAAACCATCTTGACAGATTAGAGAGATGAAGGGCCAAAGCTAACAAAATGAAGTTCAACAGTGACAAATGCAAGATACTCCACTTTGGCAGGAAAAACAAAATGCAAAGATACAGAATGGGGGACTCCTGGCTCGAGAGCAGTACGTGTGAAAAAGATCTTGGAGTCCTCGTGGACAACAAGTTAAACGCGAGCCAACAATGTGATGTGGCGGCAAAAAAAGCCAATGGGATTTTGGCCTGCATCAATAGGAGCCTAGTGTCTAGATCCAGGGAAGTCATGCTCCCCATGCTCTATTCTGCTTTGGTTAGACCACACCTGGAATATTGTGTCCAATTCTGGGCACCACAATTCAAGAGAGATACTGACTCTAAGCTGGAATGTGCCCAGAGGAGGGTGACTCAAATGAACAAGGGTCTTGAGAACAAGCCCTATGAGGAGCGGCTTAAGGAGCTGGGCATGTTTAGCCTGAAGAAGAGAAGGCTGAGAGGGGATATGATAGCCATGTATAAATATGTGAGAGGAAGCCACAGGGAGGAGGGAGCAAGCTTGTTTTCTGCTTCCCTGGAGACTAGGATGCAATGGAACAATGGCTTCAAACTACAAGAAAGGGGATTCCATCTGAACGTGAGGAAGAACTTCCTGACTGTGAGAGCCGTTCAGCAGTGGAACTCTCCGCCCCGGAGTGTGGTGGAGGCTCCTTCTTTGGAAGCTTTTAAACAGAGGCTGGATGGCCATCTGTTAGGGGTGATTTGAATGCAATATTCCTGCTTCTTGGCAGAATGGGGTTGGACTGGATGGCCCATGAGGTCTCTTCCAACTCTTTGATTCTTTGATTCTATGATTCTATGGTGTGCTATCTGATCTGCCTTTATGTTGGCATGGGTATTAGTTTGCAAGAGGTCACTTCTCAACCGCCTTAGCAGCCTCCACGCCTTCTGGCTGCTCCTGCCCATGTCAACCTCTGTGATCAGCTTGATCCCCTGTTCTTTCTTGGCTTCAGAGATGGAGGACACAATGCTCTGCCCTGCCTGAAGGGTTTGCACACTAAATGGGCCTTCGTTGTGGAGCCTGTAATAGTTTTCCAACAAGGCAGCTGTTTCAGGAGTAATGCCCTGAAGGTAGTTGGTTCTGCAGCCTCTCAGTATCGAGGCCCGTGAACAGGTTTTCACAAGAAGCACTGCCTGAACATCAAGCAAAAAGTGGGTGCTAGAAACAATATCATACGAAAGCTGACTGGCACAACCTAGGGATCACAACCAGACACAGTGAAGACATCTGCCCTTGCGCTATGCTATTCTGCTGCTGAGTATGCATGCCCAGTGTGGAACACATCTCACCACACTAAAACATATTACTCCTCTGCTGTGCCAGCTCCACTGGCTGCCAATTTGCTACCGGGCACAATTCAAAGTGCTGGCTTTAGCCTTTAAAGCCCTAAACGGTTCTGGCCCGACTTATCTGTCCGAACGCATCTCCTCCTATGAACCAGTTAGGACATTAAGATCGTCTAGGGAGGCCCTGCTCTCGATCCCGCTGGCTTCACAAGCACACCTGGCGGGGACGAGAGACAGGGTCTTCTCAGTGATGGCCCCTCGGCTGTGGAACGCCCTTCCTGCAGATATCAGACTGGCCCCCTCCTTGCTGGCATTCCAGAGGAAAGTGAAGACCTGGCTGTTTGAACAGGCATTTGACTAGGCAGTGTGATTGATTGATTGATTATCGGAACACGGAATAATGGGTAATGAGTTTGGATTCTGATTTCATTGATGAGACCTGATGGATTTGTTATATTGATATACTGATGTATTGATGCTGATGTTTAATATTTTGTGATGCTATTGATTTTAAATGCTTGATTTTGTATTGTGTACACTGAAATTGTTGTTAACCGCTCTGAGTCGTCTAAGGGTTGAGAAGAGTGGTATACAAACGAAGTGAATAAATACATAAATAAATAAAACAGTAGATGTAATTCTTAGACGTGCCGCATTATCACGGGGTGTCTGCGCCCTACACCACTGGAGAAATTATAATGCTTAGCCAGTATTGCACCACCTGACATCCGCCAGGAAGTAGCAGTCAATAATGAAAGGACCAAGGCAGAGACATCTCCAGCTCATCCCCTGTTTGGGTATCAGCCAGCACATCAACGACTTAAATCTAGAAATAGTTTTCTAAGATCTACAGAGACACTCGCTGGAGCACCTCAGCAAGCAAGAGTCCAAAAGTGGCAGGCTCAAACCCAGAACCTCAACCAATGGCTGATACCAAATGAGAGACTCCCCCCTGGGCACACAGAAAACTGGGTGACTTGGAAGGCGCTGAACAGATTGCATTCTGGCACCACGAGATGCAGAGCCAACCTCAAGAAATGGGGCCACAAAGTGGAATCCACGACATGCGAGTGTGGAGAAGAGCAAACCACTGACCACCTGCTGCAATGTACCTACATGCACAATGGAGGACCTTCTTGCAGCAACACCAGAAGCACTCCAAGTGGCCAGATACTGGTCAAAGGACATTTAACCAACTACCAAACTTGCAAATTTTGTGTTTTGTGTTTCTTTTGTTCTGTTAGAAATGTAATACAATTGACTGGTTGCCCTGACACGACCAAAAAGATATTATTACTTCAATTGCAATGCTTCCATCCTATGGAATCCTGGAACTTGCAGATTAAGGGGCAACCTTTGGAAATTTCAGCAGAGTCCAAGTGCCTCACCAAAGCACAAACCTCAGGATGCCATAGGATGTAGCCATGGCAACTGAAAGTGGAATGATAGCACTGTAATTGTTCTGTCACCTGCTGGAAGGGAGAGCTGGTCACTTCCCCTAGATTTTCATTTTTGAGAGGGTTTACTGGCAATCCTGTCGGTTCCAAGGGCTACAGTGTTATAAGATCATGGCTACATTGAGTTGTACACTGCTTTTAGTTTCAAATCTTGTTTATTTAGTAAGCAAATGAAGATTAGAGCTCCAAAGAGAAAAACAGAACTAAACAACACTTCCAGTTCCCAGAATTTCAATCAATCAATGGATATTAAAAGCCTGCCTGATGCAAATTCTCAATCCTCCACCAGAAAGTTCCATTTTTTGTCTTGGCCAGAGAAACTGTGCCCTCCACATGTTTCACGAAGTTTCTGGCACACAAACAAAGTTTTTGCCATTACATTACATCCCACTTTTAAACTAGAAAAAATATCCCCAAATTAGGTGAAATCAACAAGGACAAGTTAAACACTATCTCCAGAATTATTGCAATGAGGCTATCTGTGCTGGTACGGCTGTACCAGGAGCTCCAACTTTATTTGCTTTGTATTAAATGTTTGCTTCCAGTCCAAGGTTTCAGGGATTCTGCAGAAAGGTGGCTTCCTTTGGTTGCAGTCGTAGGGCAAGTCACCTGTCCATCATAATTAAGCTTTGGTTCCACCCCTTGTTCAGGGCTCTGGGAGGGAAAGGAGCCATTTTTGGGCAGTCTCGCATAAGGAAGCTAAACTATAGGACGTAGACCAACTCATCCCATAGAAAAGCTTCTTTTCTCAAGAACATCCGGGGAAACAGAAACAGAAATTCTAGGGGAAAGGTCCCAAGGCTCTGACTGAGAGCTCACAGCCTCTCAGCCTCACAGCAATCAGAGGGAAAACAGCCCTGAAGTTTTCAAAGAATTCTCTGAGGGAGGACAGCATTACAGATCCACTGAACTCCAGCTGAAATATCTACAAATCTCGGCTGGTAGGTCTACTCGATACCCAGACACATTTGGAATCGGTAGGAGGACCCACACCGATGAGGCATAGATAGTAAACAGCCTGGGAGAGGTTAAAAGGGGTTTTTTTTTCTTACAGAGAAAGTCTCCTTCTTTTTAGGAGCCCATCAATCAGGAACAAACATCTAAAATCTGGGAACAAACCTAGATAAAAAATCCCATGATTTCCGATTGCAGGGACATACGGACATTCGAAGACGCAGATATTCAGCTCAAAACAGATATTCCCACATCTGGAAATCTCGTGTTTTTTGCCTTTTGTAGGAATTGCTTCCGTGTTTGCAGGGAATGACATCTGGGCACTCTCCTGTTTGCTGCGGAAGCTCCTGGGATAAAGGTACTGTCTGGATGGGCCCTTCGAAGGAAGCTGAATCCCAGCAGTCTCTGCAAGTCTTTTCTCTTTGGGGAAGCAGATGGTATTCTCTTCTGGAGGAGACAGAACTCACCCCTTTCAATGCCAATCTGTTCCTTCTTCTTTTAGTTTTATTCCCAAGAGAGAAATCCTATACCGTACCAGGCAGAAGGAGGATAACTGACCCAACCAATATGGGATTTTTTTTATATCAGTGTAGCCATTCCAGAAACCCTCTGGGATCAGAAATACATTTCACAAACTATTGATCCGATGATGAATTGTTTA